GATTTTACAGGGTTTGTGAAAACCATTTACAGGGATTTTACAGGGTTTGTGAAAAACATTTACAGCGATTTTACAGGGTTTGTGAAAACCATTTACAGGGATTTTCAGGAAAAGTCTGTGGAATTTGGTAAGGCCCCGTCCACACGTATCCGGAAATTTTTGTATCCGCAAATTTTTTTTTKCGGATATGAAAATGTTTGCGTCCACACGCAGCTTATTCGAATCGTTTTCACCGTCCACACGTGTCCGCTTTCGTAGAATTTGCGGATACGGTCCCAAAAATTTGAGGACATGTGTGGCCGCAACCCGTATCCGTAAAAACAAATTGCGGATACAAAAAATTCCCGATATGTGTGGACGGGGCCTAAGACTCCTTCGATTACATAAATTTCAAGATAAAACGAATTTCTGTTAACCATGAGTGGTCCGCAAAGCTATCAAAAGATAACAGACCAGCAACGAACTGTTTTAATACGTTTTTACAACAACGGCAAGATAAGTAAGGCTGCCGCTTACCAAGAACAAATTAAAAGCGCCGCCGGAGAATTCAATCTTGACGAAGAAAGAGTAAAGKTAAGTTTGAATCGAAGAATATTTCTTTACCAACGGTCAATTACTTAGTCTATAGACACAGTAATTTAAAGATTATAGTCTTTCGTCACTACAGATGCRTCTTTTGTCAGCTGGCATGGTTGGCTGTAACAGATCATGGCGTGTTGTAATTATGAGCTTTGAGATTTGTGTTAGTTACTGATAATTGCTCTTACAAAAGTAATAATTTTAGAAATGGATAGGCAATGAAACGGCCAAACGTAAAAGAGGGGCCAGTTGTATACAGCCCAAATAGTCATCCTCGACAGGAACGCCGATCGCGAGTACTCAGCTGCAACCACCCAAAAGAAAAGCTCCTAGCTTTATAAAAGGTCCAAATTGTTAAAACGCATTTTGTGCTGATTTTTTAAAAAGTCTGGTGAGTATTCCCCTAGTGTAAAAAGAATGCTTATGTGAAACTTTCGATATTCGTGTGTTTAGTTGTTTATGGGCCGTTGTTATGGCAACCTTACGTACCAACTCAGCGTAACCATCGATATGCACGGTGCGATATTAGGGGTCGCTAGAGGTTGCGAGACTGACCATTTTTCAGTACAAAACAAAATCTTAGAAAATGTTAAACTTTACGAATACCTCGGCCTCATATTTAATGCTTTAGCAAATTTCACAATTGCGAAACCGGAATTCAAGAAATCATTACACTTTGGAATGGTTACTCACTTGAGAATGATTTCGGTTTGCAGCCATTGCTCCCAAATGCAAGCAAGATTAGAAAAAAAGTGATGAGTGGTTTACAGACCACCATTGTGAAGGCTCGTATAAGGGGTCCAGCCCAAGCATGGAAATGGAATGTGCCAAGTGGTTGTGGGGCTGAAGCCAAGGTTCCAGTGTCAGCGACAAGTGGATGATAACTGATGGTGACTCAAAAGCCTACAGTGCTGTTTGGAATGCTTATGGTGCTTGTGATACCTGCTATGCGAATAAAACTGACAAAAAGTGCCTTGCCTGGAAAGAGTCACCAGTATACGACACATGGGAAGATGAACATCTTCAAGGTACAGTCGAATGCAATCGTGTATTCAAGTTGGACTATGTAGGCCATGTCCAAAAGGCACTTGAAAAGGCACTCTATGAATTCTAAAAGAATAGTACCAAGATGGATGATGGCAGGTCTGTGAAAGGGAGTAATGGAAGGCTGACAAAAGTTGCAATTGAAAAGCTGAAAAAGTTACGGAAAAACATCACACACCAAGAAAGGCACTGAGACATTAAATTTTGCAAATAAATTAAAGCAAGCCAACTTATCAATTCTCCATTTTTAGACAGATAGATCCTATAGACGAAATGACATACGAAGTGCAGTCTTGAAAGAAAAATATCGAACTTTATTAACCGTTAGATGGGATTTTTCGTATACCAATATGCAAAACTAAGAATGTTAGAATTTTATATCAATTTTATAGAGAAATATCTAGACAGAAGTGACTTCGAGTAATGTGAGATAGACCCAGACTCTGCCTATATTGCACTATCTGGAAATAGTATACAGTAATTAATTAGACCGGACTTAAGAGAGGAATACGAATTGGAAAAGTCTTACTGGTTTTCCAGAAAAAACACTCGTGAGCATGAAGCATAGGATACGAGAACCCCATGTTGTCATCCCGTGCATTATGTAGTGAATATTATAAAAGAAAGCATTCCCGCTCGTCCTGTCGTATTTTGACCTCATCAGACAAGGGGTAAGTGCTACTTCATAGTTCTTGATTGAAAGAAAGAAAAATGGTATTGGATAAGTACAACTGCTTCTGCAGAGATGTGCAAGGGCTTGAACTCTTCACGAGCCCAAAAGACGAACAATACATCCAGTGTAAAGAGTCCAAGTGCGTTTTTTTAATCAGGTGAGCGACTTCCGTTAGTATCTCCAAATATTCGAAGCAAAATTGAACCAACGCTTCAGAGTTCTAAGAAATCCCAGAGTGCAGACCTCGTAAGCCACCTTACCTCTACGTGTCAAGTTCAGAGAAAAATCCTGGGCATCCCTTCTACATGTGCTCAGAAAGAGCTGAGGAAAGTTGTGAATGCTTACGGTGGGACAACACCTTTGCAACAAAGAAAACTGGAAGCCGCCAACCGCGCATTAAAACTCTGGTTTGGGAACTGAAAGTGATAATGTTGTATTTTTCTCATCTTAAGATGGCTTTGGAATTTGGAATAAATGTTTTCTTTTATATTTTTCTTGCTGATTGTTTGAATTTTTTACCCTGATCCCAAATTTTGTCTATTTTCTCAGGTCCTACACCTGGATGCAACAGATTTTTCGCCACCTAAAAAAAACCATAGGAAAAACAGTAATGAAATGCATGATTGTGACGAAGAATAAACTTGCCTGTGCTCCAAGGGGTTCTTCCTGGGAGGAAATGAAGATGAGCGGAGAAGCAAGGCACATAGGTATTAACATTTATAACATTTAGATCATAAGGATAACAACACAGTACCTTCTGGTCTTAGTATCAAAAGAATCTTAGCCAAAGGTTAAGACATTGAAGAGCTTCAATCAAAGTTTGACGATATCATCAAAGATTCCCAAGTTAAAATCATTGACGCGGTGCTAGAGCATTCTAGGCAAAACCTTGTTGCCTTCTAAAGCGCCATTGACGAGTGCAAAAGTTGCGTTGGTGGGGTTCTTGTCAAATGACAATTGTCTCTGCTTAAAGGTACTGACATTCCAGCAGAAAAAGTAGAGAAATTGGTCGAGTCGGCAACAAAGTTTGCTATCGATTACTCTCATAAATATTTTGCACTCTCACGCTTACCTATGTATGCGTGTGCTTGCGGTAAGCCACTCTTCCTAGATTCTCTTGCGAAACCTAGTGGTAAGCTATGCAAAGCGTGTTACAGAGAGAAGCGGATAAGAAGTCAATTTGAACATGAGGAATTCGATGTCCAAACACGATTGGATAAAAGTATGTCAAGATGTAATGGAGGGAAATCAAACTTTGACATTCTGCTTGGTTTTTACACAATGATCTGAAAAATAATATTTTGATTGATAGCAAAAGCGCTTTTATAATAGATTTAGGCAAAGCAAAAGTATTAAAGTCAATGGTATCAGAGTGAAATTCTTCTTTGATATATATTTATTTCGATTTTCAAAATCGACAAGATTTGATGTACATTTTAGGCTATGATCTGTCAGGTGCCACAGAGTCCCTTTATGAAAATCCCAAAAAAGAGGGGCAGTTCCATCCCCAACAGATCACTGATGTTGAGCTGGATATTCATATGAATAACACTCATTAATGTCTAAAATACCGAAAGCACCTGTAACAAACAGGTACACAATATTTTACGTTTTTTTAATGTCTTTGTGTTTAGGATTCTGATTGCTTGGAGTCAAGCACCATTAAGCACCATTTTTCGTTTCTTTTTCCATATAAGCTTACCTAAGCATTTTTAGAATATTAGCTAAAAAGTTTATTTTTTGCTTCAGCAATTTCATTCTAGCCAAAATGGCAGGATTCATAAAACACCAACGAGAAGATGGTAACTTTGATGTATTTTGCATTATTAGGCTTCATTGACTGAAGAGACGAATGTGCAGCTGGCTGCACCCGAGCAAGAGCGCGATGACGTGCAGGATGCCCCAGCGATTCCTGCATTCCTGCCAACGAACAGCAGCCGCAATCTCCCATGTTCTGCGATAAAACTATTCTTCATCAACTTTAACCGTGCATTGTCCCATACTATGTCTAACGTGCCTATAGAAATAGTGCCGCTGTGCAGCAAGTGCTGGTAAGAACCTTGGAGGCCATCAAGCGCACATAGGCATTAACATCTCATGGCCAGCCGAGATGTTGATGGACCAGCTTCAAGTTGTTTTTCCTTGCTTTCAAAGAGTGGTCAAAATTGACAGAAGAAGAAAAGGCTGCATACAAAAATAATATTAATAGTATTTTAATGGCCGAGTTGACCCAAGACAAAAAAGGACCATCAAAAAGATAAGAGTTCAAATTATTAATTTGGAAAGTCAAAAAGCATTAATGTTTTAATTAATTTATCAATGTGATATTTTTAGACAGCAACAGCCTTAACTTTGGAGCCTAATTCAGCCGTTCCATGGACGCTGGAGACTTAAGGTACGTCCAACTTAGTTATACCTTTCTTTCCCGATACACGCTGGTAGGAATTGATAAATGAATACATAGTATTTAAATGACTGTAAATTGAAGTGCATTGATACCTGGTGTACAGCAAGGAGAAA